TCACAGTAACTATATTTCACAAGTCCCCCAAAAAACCCCAGAAAAGGCAATAAAGAGACCAATAAAAAATTGGAAGTCTCGATATAGAACAATCCTAGGGGGTGAGAGCATTTAAATTCTGAGTTAACTTTTCTTTGGACCACCCTAATGTACATACATACAAATGTAAATATGTAAGTCCGAATACTGCAAATAAAATATGTACATATGTACATATGCAGGTAAATTTTTCTATGATGTCACTTGTTAAAATATAAGAAAAAAGAACAAGCCAAGCTTTCATATTTCTTAGTCACTTGTGTAGTTGTAAGCTTTAATGAAAGTTCTCCAGTTGCGCTTGGCAATGACATTGACGCTGTCAAGCAACGTGATCGTGCGATCGCGTGAAACGTAATGAAATGCGATTAGTGTGAATGGCTTGTAATTATACATACATACCAGGGATGTTGCGAATATTTGCATTCGCATTCGTTATGCAAATAATTCGCATCATTTCACACTTTCGCATTCGCAACAAATGTTAGGAATGTTTTGCGGATGCGAACGTGTACATAGGCATAATATTGTTGAAATGGCTCTAAGTCTGTCTAACCCGGGTGCGGACAATATAACCGGGTTTTAGCTTCAACCGCTAAACTGTTAAGTAGTATATCAAGCAAATTGATGGGACTTCAACAAGTACTGCTAAAAGTCTTATAAGTAACCTAGAAATAATTTTAGATTCCTTCAGCGAAAGCGAAGGCTCAGATGTAGAATCTGGAGACATTAAAAAATTTGAAATTAAAGCTCGATTGAAGGCTTGAAAATCATCTCAATTGGTGGAAAACTAAAATACAACTAATTGACGAATCTGGCCCGCAAAGATTTGAGCACTCCACCCGCCAGCGTTCCAAGTGAGCAATTGTTCAGTGCAGCCGGCCTTATGTACGAGCCTCTAAGAAATCGCCTCATGGGAGAAAAGGCAGCAAAATTACTTTTTTTGAACTTTGACTACTAGATTAAAACACTGTATAGGTTAAGTACTCGTGCAATGTTCTAGAGTGTACGTTCTTCGTCGAATCGACGAGCCGACAACGTGTGTTGTTTTCTTATAAAAAAATTAAGAATCATTTCCAGGGTTAAGTTGATTATAGCTTTTTTAATGTTATTCCTAACATTCGCAATCGCATTCCGAAAATACGACATTCGATACATCCCTAATATGTATGTACATATTTGATATACAATTGGAAAGTATTTGCTCTGTTATGCCCTTGGTGGCGTATATGCAAATGCGTGAAAATTACAAGCAAATCGCAAGTAGAGAATAGGCGTTTAGAAAAATACTTAAATAAGGTAGTTGAGGTTAAAATGAAGCAAACAAAAAAGGTCAAAGTCGAAAGCAAAGTGTATTTATGTATGTACATACATATATACATCTCTAAATTAAAAAATGACTTTACCGACCGCTTCGCCAATTCAATGACCAATTCAATGTTAAAATTGCTTATGAGTGCAACTAAAGTAAATGATTCGAAAAAATATTTTCGAAAGTTGTCTTAAATATTTTCTCACCTTTTGTGTTTGAATGAAAATGTACCTGTGTCTGAAGGCGTCGTTTATTCGCTTGGTTTTGTCATTAGTTTATGACGCTATAACTATGTACAGATGCATTCGGTTACAAGTAACCGGCCATTTAATCACAAGAGGTATGAAATGACTATTTGGGTGTTTACATGAGGCGATAGAAGCCTATAAGGTAACTTTAAGAGGCGATTAGTTGAATCAAAAGTTGGCTGCCCCCAACCCCCCCAACTTCATTGGAAGCGATTATTTCAAAGGCCGTTTACACCAGGCGATTGTTGCTTTCAACTAAAAGTTGCCTGTGAAATCGCCTCGTGTAAACAGTGCATTAGGCATGTACTAAAAATTTCTAATTCGGATCGATTTCGGTTTTACAATGATTTTGAAAAAAAAAACCTTCACAATAGCGGTAATTTTCGGTCTCTGCTTACCGATGATTTGTCTAGTCTAAAAAAAAAAACCTGGAAACTAAATTTGGACCTAAAATATTTTTATTTAAAAAAAGCGCCATATGACTTTCAAAAAGATGGAAGTCGTCAGCCGATTTCGAAAAATTCTTACATATTAATTTGTTGCAGGGATTTTTTTATTTCGAAATCTAAAAATATGTTGGAGAAACAAACTTTCATTTTTATAAAATTCTCTTTGCAACAATTTTTAAAAATTGATTATGTTAATAGTAAAAGCTTACTAAAATATTGCGACAAAAAGCTTTTATTTTTAAATTAAATTTTAAACTTTTTATAAGGGCAGAATTTATCGTTCAATGAAAATGCTTTTCACAAGTGCGAAATTTTTTATAGTCGTCCTGCTTTTAAACTTTTTGTCTTTACCTCATCCAGGGCTGTACATATTTTTCGTAATCAAATTTCGAAAGCGAATAATGTGGTAAAATAATGTAAAAAGCGTAATATTTAGCGTCTGATTTGAAATAGCAGCAAGCAAATTAATTGTAATGTCCAGAAAATGATCGCAATTAATTTTATTAATTTTCGAAAAATAGAAAAAAAGAAAGTATAACTGGGGGCGTCACTTTTCTTTCCAACCGCATATTTTTTGCCAATTTTTCAAATATTTTAATACCATTTTGTATAGACTGAGTAGAATAAAAATAAAACTATACTTTTTTTAAGTGCACCGGCTAAAAAAAAATTAAATATAAATTCATATACAAATGTACATACATTCAAGTAAATATGACCATAACTCAATTAATTTGAGTCATACCTACTTGAGAGAGCAGAGCTCTAATACTTAGCTTAATCTACTAAATTATGCCAAGTTATACGAAATTGCAAAATCGAAGGTCAAAATAAGGTGAAACAAATTTGAAATTAATATCGACATAAGGTTAAATTGTTGTGCGATTTTTTCAATGATATTCAAAAGTGATTTCTTTGCTTATTATCAAGCTACTAAACTCGAATAACAAAAACAAATGTTTACACATATTCCAACATACTCCCTGTAATCTAAATATGTAGTCGCAGATAACTTTCTTTCGATTTTGAAAGTCAAATAGACACGCATGAGTACATATATGTATGTACATATATACATAAGTATGTTTATTTACAAATACATATGTATGCACATTTGTATGTATGTATGTATGTGACTACAATCAATGCTTTCTTAAGGGCTTTGCTCAGTGCCTCCACATTTTATTGTGCTTAACAAGACTCCACATTACCCTATAAATAGCTTGATAAGTGCACAGATAAGGGGCTATTGTGAGATTATTCTCACTTGTTTGTATGAAAGATTTTAAGTTTATTAGTTGTGTGTACGTATGTGTATGCATGCAACTGCGTATGATTGAATGCTTTTGTACAATTGCATATTATTACCGATCAGCTGATTGCCTCTGAAATCTGATGAGTAATAGGTTATCATTTGCATGTCATCAAAATTTTGAACTCTATTAATGTAAAGAAATTATAATACATACATACACTGCCGGAACAAAGTATTGACACAGCGAATTTTTCACAATATATGCAACAATTTTTATTCTAACATTTTTCCGCCAATTTTGTATAAAAATATGGTTCATTATACAACAAAAAAAAAACATACAAATATAATTCCGAAACTTTGTGCAAAACTCGCTAAAATTCAACAAAAAAATCAACAAAAGAAAATTGCCAAAAATCAACGGTAATTCCTAGCTACTTAAAACTTGTACTTTATTATAATAAAATTGATTGGGCTACAAATCGGCATACTCAAAAAATTCTAGAAAATTTGATTAAAAAGTTGAAAATTTGCATGAAAATTTGCTGAATTTTTGTGAGTTTTGCACAAAGTTTAGGAATTACATTTTTGTGTTAACTGTGTGTCAAATTGAAAAATTAAGTGGCATATGAAGTAAAATAGGGCCAAAAATGGCACGGTTTGAACCAAGTTGGCAGCTCTGGGTAGGAGTATGATGTGTTGTGGAACGATTTTTTTGGGCGAATAAAGTTGGAAGGACGAAATTCTAGGATGCGGTCGAGTGCATATTCGTATTGTAAAATGTGAAGGATATTCAATGATAAAATATCAAAAGGAAATTTTCAATACCTAATCGTCCTTATACACCAAATTTTTGACAAAAACAATTGACCTTAATTCTACAGAATTTGCTCTTTAACTTGATAGTCATAGTGTTTTTCTACATTGCACTGAATTTTTTTAATAATTTTTTGAAGTAATTTCAAAGTCCTTTAAAAAAAATCCTAACGTCAAAGAAAAAAACTAAAAACGCAGTTTTACTATATTACTATATTTAATTTCGCGAATATATAAAATTTACTGTCGCACAGTATTACGTGCGAATGACAAGATAAACTTTTTTCTTAAAAATTGGAGAAAGTAAAAAAAAAATTTTATTTTTATTTTTGTATGTCCAAGGCTAAATAGTTTTAATTGAATGGAATATTTTTATTGTTTTGTTTAACAATGTTTTCCGTTTCGAAATTGTAAAAGCTTCAAAGTATAGATGATTTTTTCTTAGCGAATTTTTTTTTTCAATTTAATTTGAAACTGGCAGAATAGAAAAAATAATTTCTCACCTAAATCACTCTTGAAACCGACAGTTAAAATCAGAAAATAAAGCTTCAGCGTAAAATATAGGTAATGTGAAGCGAATAAAATTCGCTATCAGTTTTCTATTATTTTTTATCTCTGATCTCTGGTACTCTACTGGTAATAACAGTTTAAATCGGTCTTATTTTCTTGATAACACTGTTCTCTACAACTACTGGCATCCAGCGCCGGAGAAATTATTGGATATTTAAAATAATTGTACAGGTAATGGTTTAGGTTTCTTTGATTACTCCTTTGATTTTAAATTTAACATTTAATTTTAAAGAGTTTCCATTAAGCAAACGTCTTTCACTCACATCTGCGCATTTTTTATTATTGCTTTTTTTTATTTCTCGTGATCTACTTACCATGATTGTTACTGTTGCCATTGCTTAAGTTTTTAGTGGCCATGATTGCGGCAATTAATATTTTCTTCTTCACTTAAAAGCGTTTTAGTTTATACTTAAATTGTTTATAAACGCTTTCCACCAATTTTGCTGCAAGACGCAATTATTCGCTCGTCGTATCTAACACACTTACAAGGCCTGCTCGAGCAGCGACACACGGATCACTGTAGCGGCGGCAGCTTAAGCAGACGTTAATTGCAACCAAAAACACGTTTTGTGCGAATTTGATACTTATTCAGCGTTTTCTGTTTTTTTTTGTCTTCTGATTTTCACAATGAAATGCCAAGGCACAGCCGCAGTGATATAAAAACTAATAAATATTAAATAAATATTGTATAATGCGAAGTCAACTACGCTGCCTAGTGCTTGAACTTTCGCGACTTGGTTGTCAACCAACGATTGCGCAGGAGCTTTACTGTTTTTTTTTTATGCAGTTATAGACGACAGCACTCAGTGCACTCAATAAAAATTGACCAATTAATCGCGTGTAGCCCGAGGGATTACTGGGTTAAAACAAATCGGCTTAGCTGCACAAAGAATCGTCTACCAGCGTACAATGCGAATTAACGACTGTCGAAATGACAGCGATCCAACTAGCCACCAACTGCTGGGGAGTCAGCGCCGCTGAAAGGTGGCGATTGAGTGCAAGGCGCTCCAAGACGATAAAACAAAGAGCGCGCAACAAGTAAACACGTGTATATTTATAAATTTACGAGGGCGTCTTGCTTTATTTGCCGATTTGGGAGAAAAAGAGCGGTTAAATGTTGAAATATGTTTTATTTTATATTTCTATACTTTTATGTTCCACGGACTATAATACTTTATCGACTCTGAATACTTATTAGAATTTTATTCAAATTTCAAATCAGTTTTATACATAGCAACAAAAGTTTACTGTTGGTTCTGAAATTATATACAGTCAGTCAATAAAGTTTAGGTACAGCGAATTTTTTACAATACGGGCAACTATTTTTTAAATATTTTATTTTTCGCTACTTTTTTATAAAAATATGGTCAATTCTACAACAAAAACCCCAAAAATCAAAGTTCCAAACCTTGTGCAAAATTAAAGAAAATTCTGCAAAATTTCATTCAAATATTGTACTTTTTATTTACGCTCTCTAGAAAAAAGTTGAGTATGCAGTTTTTTAGTCCATTCAATTTTAGTATAATAAAGAGCAAGTATGAGGACTTACCATCGATTTTTGAAGAATTTTTTTGTTGAAGGTTTCGCACATTTTTTCCATATAAAAAAATTATCAAACATTGTAAAGTGCTGATTAGATTTTCTCTGTTTGAAATCATATGTTCCCGCAAAGTTTTACTAATGAGATGTTACTCTCCACAACTAGTACATATGTAAAAGTACTTACATACAGCTTCGTCATTCCCTTAACTTAAATGCGGACCCTCGTATAAAACACGCCTGGGTGCGCAGCTTAATTTGTAAATGGAAAAACATACAAAAATATTTGAAAGAAAAAATCACTAACATTTGACTCTCAGAGCAACAACGCGTGATGTAAACAAAACCTAATAACAAAAAACTAGCGAATGTAAAATGGCATAAAAAGGGATCGTTTGATAAAAAAAAAAACTAAAAAAGCTATACCAAAAAGTAAAAGGAAATGTTAATAAAAAAATAAATAAATTTGCAACAACTTATACTTACAATACATACATACATATGTACACATGAATGCTCTTATGTATAATAAGTTAAACGTTTGCATAGTGAGGTCATCTTTGCATTCAATTGTGCGATGTAAACAAAACCTAATAACAAAAACTAGCGAATGTAAAATGACATAAAAACAACAAAACATCAAACTTTTCAATAAGAATCTTTAGAAAAAATATTGGTATGCAGTTTTGCAGTCCATTGTAGTATAGGGGTAAAAAAAACATTAATTTGTGGCATTTTTTTTTTTGCTGGCTGTCTTCCATATATGTATGTACATTAGGGTGGTCCAAAAAAAAGTGAAGTCAGAATCTTAATGCTATCACGCCCTAGGATTGTTCTCACCACCGAAAAAATATACCCGTATTTTTTTATTTTGAAATCAAAAAATATTTAGAGAAATAATATTTGTATGGCAGTATTTTTCTTTAAGGCGTCGAACCCCTAGAAATGGGCGTAGCAATTTTAGGACTAGAGTTAACAAAACGCAAATTTTATTTCGGATTTGAAAGGAATATCCCTTCGTTAACAGCAATTGTTCCGCAACTTTTTAATTCAAAGAATATTCTAAAATCGACGTGGCAATTTTAGGACCAAAGTTCGTAAATTTAGATTTTGTCGTGCATTTCGGCGGAATATCTATAAGCAATTTAAATATATTTTTAACTTAATATTTTATTAAAAATACCTTTTCCTAAAATCTAACGAGGTCGGTATAACGGGCAAGACATGAAAGTCTGGAGATAAAGCGAAGAATAACTCTTGCCAACAAGTGCTACTTTGGGCTCGGCAGGCAAATGAAGAGCCAGAGTACTCTCTCGACTAACAAAAATCACGCTCTACAAGTCTCTCATCATGCGCGTCCTTTTATATGGCTCAGATACGTGAACAGTGTCTAACAAAGATGGGAAAGCTTCGGGGGCTTTCGAGAGAACTATTGTAGACGAGTACCGAAGAAGATAGAATGACGAACTGTGCGAGCTGTTTTAACGACATGGACTTAGTTAGTTATGCTAGTATTTGGCCGAGCTTCTCCTCCGATTTGTGGCGTTCGCCTTGATGTTGTCACACAAAGGAAAGAGACCTACAGTTTTACGCCGGCTACGAACGGCGATTGTATTTTTATGAAAAGCTGTCTTTCATGACAGACACTCGGAGGTTTGCCATTGAATGCCGAGGAGCGACCGCTGTTAAGAAAAAAAAAAATGTTTTCTATATTTTTTTGCGATGATGCTTTGACTGGGGCTTGAACCCAGGCCATGCGGAGTAGTAGCGCGCTCTGCTAACCACTACACCACAGCGACCGCCATAGCTAAGCGCATAAAAATACAACAATTGGGTTGGACAAGTTGTACGCATGGATGACGACGTTCCGGTGAAAAGATCCTTCGACTTCGCACCCATGGGTAGACAACGAAAGCAAGGGCGCTCACGAATGCAATGGAAGGACCAAGTGCAGAAGGACCTATCCGCACTTGGGATGAACAACTGGCGCAAAGGAAGTGGCGAAGTTTTCTGGTCTCAGCCCAAACCGACAAACGGTTGTAGTGCCAAACAAGAAGAAGAAGAAGCATTCCCTTTGATCGCTTTTTTGTTGAAGTTTTTTTTATAAGAACTCCCATTGTTTGACATATGAACATATGTATATAGTCACTCCGCGAAATCGAAAAAGAACGACTAATTTAGTTTTTTAATATTAAGGGACTCTAAACTCAGAAGCTCGTATTTATGCACGAGTATTTATTACTAAAATTTAAAATTTGGACCTACATGGATTTTGTTAGATATTGTGCTTAACTTTAATAAAAACATAACAAGCATTAACTAAACAAAAGAAAACTATCGAACTGGCCAAAGTGTCGTGTTTCTTTTTTTTTTTGGCCATAAATATGTACACAAAACAGGGCTTCGGAGCAAAGGTTTTTTTTTCATCGCTTCGCTCTAGCTCCGCTCCCGCTCCTAATAAAAAAATGTGTATTTCTTTATTTATTTATTAACTTACATATCGATCCCAAACGCCAAAAAATCCTGGGCGAAATTTTTTTGGACATTTCATTTTTGATGCAGAAATGCATCTAGGTGCTCTAGGAGCACTTCTGCTCCAAAAGAAAACAAAATTGCCAAGTAAATTAAATAGAATGGAAATTTAGTTAACATGGTTATTTTCAGTGGCAACAAAAATAATAATTTAAGTAAATTTATTAACTAATATTTTTTTATTAAGCTTGTGGCCGTTATTATTGTCAATGTTTGAGGAAAAAACCAATAAAAATATTTCAAAATAAATCGTTACCAGGCCAGAAAATAACAAAAACAAAATAATGAAAATTTTTCTTAAATGAACAAAGGAGCAAATTAATTTGCTTCAGCTAAAATGCTTTGCTCCTGGTTTAACTAAGCACTGTGAATTCGGCTCTGAGTAATTTTAAAATAAAAAAACAACACGTGATTCGATTTAGCAATGTGCCGAAACAAAAATTTATATTTTTCATAATTGTCATATATTTTTAATGTAACTATTGAAAATATGTTTAAGCAATTCACTACGGCAACAGCAAGACATTTAACATTTTTTTAATTATATGCTGTTATGATAATATGACTCTTATCACACATAAAAAAAACAATAGGCTTTTCACAAATTTTACTAATTGCTTAACCGAGCTTCTCCTCCAATACCTTTAGGTTACCTTGATGTCACCAAATAGAGAGAACTACATACATACATATAATTTTACGCTGCCTCCGAGCAGAGGGGTAACAGTGGGGAAAAAATTGTTTACTATAATTTTTGTAATGTCGGAGCAGGAATCGAGCGTGGGCTCTGCCGGGTGGAAATACACATCTCTAACTACTAGGCTGCAACGGCTTCCGTGCATTTTTTCTATTTTTCAGTTATTTATTTTTGTATTCAAGAGATATTGTATGTCAGAAATTTAAAACTGTTTTTCTTTCGTGGTTATTTTAATTTATTTTGGTTTTTGGTAAAAAATGGTGAAGGCAGAAAATCACGAAAACTTTTAACGGAGCATTTTTCCTTTTTCCGTTTTTTTTTAACACTTTTCTTTGTTTTACAACAAATTTATAAGTGAATACACAAGTAGATGGGCGTACACATTCATACAAATGATGTATGTACATAATATATCTTTGCTAAAACTCTTGCATACCTGTTGAGGTATTTGTATGACTTTTGAACAAACGAAAGCACCACTTTTATAAAAAAAAAAAAACTTGCTACCAAACTGCGTGAGCTGTCGCAAAGAAATAACCAATATGAAATAAATCAAAATTTCTTCTAAAAGATTCTTAGTTCATACATACTGGGTACATACATATATATGTATGTAATTTTGCGTATATGTAGATACATACATGCATACATACATGTGTTTTTTTTTAAATTGGCATGACTTTTATTTTTAAATTTTTGCCTATCATTCGATTGATTTTCAATACTTCTCTACACTCCTAATCTAACCTTTATAGGACGAATATGTACATATGTATCACTCTTAGTACCGCCCAATCTGAAAACTAGCTATAAAATTTTGATAAGAACTGCCCGAAAAAAAACAAAAGGCAAAAAGCGATAGAAATAATCTTTTTTTTTAATTTATTAATGTTCATGTTCGATTTGTGAAATTAAGCAAAACATAAATTTGGAAGTAATTCTTTAAAATGTGATAGTAATCTCACGTGGTAACCGTGCGCTGGCGGATGGGACCATATTTCGACAACTTGAGCAACAATAACTACGAAGACATTTGTGCTATTAAAACTAATTTCAATTAAATAGCGATAAAAGCTCAGTTAGTCTAGACTTAATTTACTTAACGTAACTTAACTTAATATTTTGGCCAACCTGTCGTATGAGAAAACGTGTTGGCGATTAGCTAAAACTT